GAAGAACTCGAAAATTGCTGGCAGTACGTAACGCAACGTAGAGCGAGCATCGGTTATTCCGAACACTGGCAAGCTTGAATTACTTCGTAGCTTAGCGTAACCCTTGCACTTAATTGCTATGAGAGAAAAATGCAGCGCATTAGCAGAACATTGTACAAACCTACGTCGCCCATCACAAACTGCTGTACAAGCACGTCAATATTCTGCTGAAGGTGGGACAAAGGGTTCCTTACTAATAACGGTTGATTGCCTAATACCAAGGGGCTACGAAAGTAGCAAACCCACTGCGGATGCAATATGTTTTAACCTTCCAGTCGACATAATCATCAGCAGATTCTCCAGCTTTTATCGCCCTGCCAACTGACTCGCTTAAATTTCCTTTACCACTGAAACTGTACTGCAGAATCTGACCACCCTACGCAAGCACAAATCCCCGCGTGTCGATACTATACGCACAGATGCACTGTGATCAGTAGCAAGTTAACTGGCAGTGCTATGGGCTCAGTTCTTCCGTCGCTGCTTAGACCAGAACCTAGTTGCTGCCATGTGGGAGAGTAAAATAATAACACTCATTCACAAATGTGAAAGCAGAAGCAAGGCTTCAAACTACCGTGCAGTTTCCCTTCTTTCTATACCATGCAAATTGATGAAATCCATTATAACCGATGCGCTGGTGGGCTATTTGGAAAAGTCGAACATTATTATTTCTGATCAGCAATGTTTCCGTCGGAATCAATGGTGCGCAACAAATTTGCTAATAGTGCGGAGTATCTGGACCTAGTCAGTTGATGCTGGAAGGGATTTTGATGTGATCTAGCTTGGTTTCTTGAATGCATTTTACCGTCTAGATCATCCGATGCTTGTTTCCAACTTACAGCGATATGGGATCGGTGACCTTATTCTGAGCTGGATCGTCAACTACCACCTTCAGTAGCAACTTATGGTTAAGATCGGGGCTCCTTCTGTGAACCATATTAGTTGAAGTTTGTGTGCCTCAAGGCTATGTTCTAAGTCCCTGATTGTTTGTGTGTTTATCAATGACCTCACTCAAGCAATCGCCAATTATTTCCCGCTGTCTGCCGATGACGTCAAAAGATAACGCAAGGTGCAAGTGATCTCTGCCCAGCAGCTGTTTCATAGTTATAAAGACATTGGACATTATTCTGCATACAAAATTTACTGCAATTCATTGCGGCTAAATGCAAGCTGTTCTTCAGACGAGACCGGAGCAACCACTGTCACAGGCGCGGAACACATGCGCTTCAGCATCTGCCACGTAACTTGATTTCAGCTAACTGCTTCAGGATGATCTGGATTGTTCCAGCCAATCCGCGAATACCTTCAAAACTAGTAATCTACATTTAGACCTGTTATGAAAGGCGCTTGAACAAATAAATCGCTCCATTTCCTGGCAGATTCTAAGTGTGTATGTTCGTCCTCAAGTCGAATATGCAATTCAAACCTAGCACCAATGGTTAAAACACCCACTTTGTACATTGGAAAATTCACACTATCGAGCGTCAAAGTACGTTATTGGAATGCACCAACTTTCATACGGGGAGGTGCTGAAAGTATTGTGCGTATTCAGCGGACGTTACCGCCAGTTGCTAGGTGACTCGATAATGGTGTACTTAATTCTGCACGATCCAAACCATGCGTGCCGCACTTGACTGCAACGCAGCAGTAATACAAACTTGAGAGTTTATTCACTAAAACTGTCAGCACAGTAAAGCCGCCTGGAATGTCGCAGGAATTTATTTTCCGTCTGTGTGTATCACCCGTGGAATGCTTATCCAGAATCGGGCATCTCTGCATCATCAACATCCCTATTTAAAGAATTTTGTAGGACTCAGTTTATCAGGTACACCTTGTTACCTAGTACCACAGCATCATCCGACTTCAGGAATACACTTTGCATTTATTTGTAGCTCATTTATTTGCTGTGCATGTACACAAATTATAGGACTATAGCGAAACAAAGGATTAGGGCTTCTTTCAAATATAAATAAACCCACTGTTTTTTAATTTTTCGATAACACTGCAAAACCACCCAATGGGAGCTGCAACCCGCACAAATTAATTGTTCATTGTTTTACCACATGAGCTAGTTCCGTTAACAATGGAGTTAGATAATAAAATAACTAACTCCTGCTAATATCCGCTTACTCCGTTACGTAAGTGACAGCAGTTGGTACGGTGCAACCTTATCAATAATTGTGAACAAAAACGCTACCAGATATAATCTGATCCAGGTCTGGGAAGGCATCAAAGTTTCATCATGGATACCTTGTATTCAATTGTTTAATTAATTAGATACGTTGTAAAATTAGTACGTATTTACAATCTCTAATTAAATTATTAAATGCCATAGCAAGCGAAATTTTATGTTTAGAATTTCTCTTTAAACTTGTATATAGCAAATCAAGGCAGGTGAATTCAGCGTAATATTCAGTAAACTACATCTAGTCTACAGCCGATTAGAACTGATCAGATAGTCACTGTCATTAGGTCATAGCTTCAGGGTGTAAAAAGGTTTTGGGCCTAACAGTCTGCTTCAAAGGTGGTTAGCCCAATTCTGAGTGAGTTTGCTCCGAATGCTGAACTTCGCCTCGTAAATTCGGATAGTGGGTGACTCCTTGGGAAATAAATAGTTGGCTACTGGCGCACTTCGATCTATCGTCAAGTTTCTGATTAATGACCATAAACGACATAGCCAACTTGGTGTTGACTGTGCTGCGGATATATTTGGCTATGAGGTAGTTGGTTGATTTTCGATATATAGTAACAGGTTCGGCCGGATTATTTTCCCTCAATCAGTCACATAAAAGCTTCTTTACTAAACCTACGTGACATACCAAATAGGAAAAGAAGAACAAGTTGATTTACACCGATTTAGCCTACAAGGGAATTGTATTTGCGACTAGATCTTTCGTTTGGAGTGTGAAACTATTAAAAACGCGCACGAATGCGGAACGAGTATTTTGGCCGCCAGTTTGTTCTAGTGATATAGTTTCAGAAAAATGGATTTCATCACAGCAAAGGATTTAATTAGTGAGATTCTTTTTTTAACTCTTTGGTGTAGAAGTCACAGTTTCAAAGAAACTATGTCTTTCGATTAATCTTTTTACAACCGTGGACAATAAATTAGAGAACAGTATAAGTATTGGTTGCCTAATATATAACTAACATTTCTGGCTATAAATATGTTGCAACTCAGCGTTTGTGGGATATGAAATTAACATACTGATTTCGCCGCAACATAATCATGCATAAATTTAGGGCCGCATTGCCAAAAACTTGAGCATCAAGAACATTTGACACACTATTGTGTGTGCGCAATAATAATGTAGTAATTTGGTGTTTTAAATTAAATAATAAAGTCACTACAACAAAGTTTGAATGAGCTTTGCTCGGTGTGCTCAACTTCATTATAACTTGATTGATGTTTTCTTGTCTAACGTTACATGAAAGCCATTTTCATTTGAACATCTGTTCGCATTGTCCTTAATTATCTTTAAACATTTAGTGTTCAGTGTTTAATTGAGAGCGTTTATATTTGGAATTTTGCTGCAACTAAACCTGCATACATCAATCACTACTTATTAAATTTTTACCGTACTTAAATTATTAATACAGGACATAAATATTTACTGACTTTTATCAGAACATGTTAAGTAATCGTTAAAGTTAATTGTTAGGTTATGTGTCGCTCTTGACAAAAAGACTCCCTCAGGCGAATCTTGTAGGTTAGACTAGAAACGCCACCTAACAAATGCATTTGTCTGTTATTCGCATTTCCTTCCGGATTAATGTCTTTCGGATGGCGTCCCATGCGTAATTCACTATGTTAGTTGACCAAACATACATCAAGAGTAAATTTAGACTGTTTGCGTTTAACTCGGCCTGTGTGTATGTAACCAAACAGAGGGTTTGTTTTCCGGCTACTGGCAAAATCAATAATTGGTTAAAACGGCAGCGTTTGCTTGCAAGACATGCTGCGCAGTTGTGAAGTGAGCTTAGCAGCTTCCTTGTTTTCCTCGTGCAGCATCGTGGCAAGCATCAAATGTATGAGAACATGCCACGTTACTTTTTGGATAAACTGCACAATAGCACATTTGCTCGGCCCACTTTTGGGAACATGTGTGTTATAAAAATGGACCTATCAAATAACCAAACACGAAGCAAGAACACTGTTAGTTGAACTTCGTGCTAAAAGAGGAGCATTATTTTGCTTCTAGCTAGTGTACAAATGGTGGCCCTAATGAGTGCAGTATTTGCGCTTCTACAACATATGGCTATTGTTCATATCATTGTAGTTGATTGTGGTAAGTATCGCTCTTCTTGCATAAAAACCAATAAAGCGACACATTATCGTGTTCCCGTAATATTATCATAAATCAGGGATAAGACAAACGAATAGTGAACTATGTTTACTAAATTACAAGAACTTCTATTAGCATGTGTATGGGTGAAAAATGTTAATACTTGTTGTGGAATTAGTTCGAAATCAGCTAATCATATTTTAACCACTGACATTTATTTCTAAAGATAGGGTCATTGATTCTTTTCTTATTTTTGGTAATAAAGTGTTTTGTTTTCCTTAAGGTTGATTACTTTTTATTTTTCTGTCACAGAGATGATACAGTACCGCATGTAAGACGGTCAGATATATATAAAACATTCGAACCAATCCAGGCAACACTTGAGAGTCACGCTTAAATCAAATCCCTGTTTTTCGTGCCAAGGTCATAGTTATATTATCATACCAGAGTATATGAAAAGCTATATGCATTAAATTGGTTTTAATGATGATTGATAGGCCTCTACACATCGGTGAAACAATCATATTTATTCTATTTGCAATTTTGCATTAAAAGATTTAAAAAAACTCACGGAAAAAAGTAGTTTACCTTCTACTGCCAGTATTTGAATTGAGCGTGCTGCAAAAATTAAATCAAGTATACATACCGCTTTCACTTACAGATGAAAACTATTCGTACATGGGAGCTCCTACATCGGATCGAATAGGTAAGCAATTTCATTGTTTTGCTTTGTTTTAATGATACCACAAAATTAGATAACACTATATAATCAGTTAACGTACGAGATATACGTATGCACTACATTTGCTATGAACCTCAGAACACAGCACCATTGCAATGGTTGTTTTATAATATCCGTTTCCTACATATTTTATGTGATTTCATTATGATATCAAGAAGAAGCTAATTAATATTTCAAAGCTAGTCGAGGTACATCAAGTAACACGCCCGCTTATTTCCGCATTTGAATCAGCGAAATTAAAAGATTTGTTCGTATCAAATTTATTAGGCAACAGTCCTAACATAAGAAAAGATGTATATGTAGAACCACTGTCAAAATGGGATATATCTTTATCCTAGTATAGGATAAATAATATTGTTGATAATGGTAGGTTTTTAAAATGTTAGCATTTGCGAATTTGATTAGTAATGTTCTCCTCCATAGAGTATAGTACATAATATAGCCCTAAAAAGACACTTGCAATGTGTGTTCATAGAGCAGATTCTTTAGTTGCATAATACAGCACAAATATATAACACAAATGTTTGCAAAGACTAGGGTACGAAAAATAAACTGCAATGGTTTTAAGAGCTTAACATCTACACGCAAAACTCTCTTGGTAGCAAAACTGAAATAAATATAATTCCTACATCTAGACGGGTCATTTACTGTGTGATACAGTACAATCACGCAGACCAGTTAAGCCACATTAAAGAAATTTGTTGAGTACCTTGGCTATTGATCAGAGAAACCAGAAACCCCTTTTATCTAACTAGTGAAACAATGTTCTGATTGGTGTTTGTGATATAAATCAAGGGTATAAATAAGCACTTCTTATTCGCAGCCAACAAATGTGTTTCAAATCCGCACTAATCGAGGATTGGTGATTTTCTTGCATGAAGCGTTGAGTTACCCGTATTAACCGGGATAGCAGAGTAAGAAAGCGAATGATGCCAGATGGTACAAATTCATGTCTTCTGTTCACTCGCAAACATACAACATAAGAAATAATAAAGTGACATAAAAGAAACCAATAATTTGAAAAGGTGAGTTCGCTCGACGGCGATGTAAACGTCGGCTACAGGTTTAGGAGGAATTATTAACGCCCAAAGGAGTTTGAGCATAACGAACAGTTGCTTCTGGACGCAACATTTTGAAGAATGCTTTCTTATGGACACTGCCTCGGCAAACTTAGGAACTCCAGACTTTGTGTTACGATAGATAAGACTAAAAGCCTAGTTCTGGTCCACCTGATGACACATTTTCAACAAGTTTATCACAATCGAAGTGGCAGATATGATGTTTGTCAAAAAGGTCCCGGTTGCGGCTGTCTTATCAAGAATAAGAGGACGACTAGCATTCCAATGGTTCAACATTGCCTATGTTGCGCAGACAATTGCAGTAAAGTCCTTAATGTCGGTGTTACCTGTTCTAGCTGCATTAGATCTTACTCTCTGCAATGTGTAGGCAAATCTGTGCAATAATTAAGAGATACAAATTAAGTTGCCGGCACAATTTGCTTTTGCCCAACATGTCAAGCCGTACCAATGTTTAACTGTTTAGTTTTGCTCATACAAATTTGCGATAGGATGACTGAGATAATCGCGCATTTTGTGAATGCTAAGATGAATCCCACTGAGGTAAATACGGCCACGAAAATACCTCACACAGCTAAAGTAAGCTCCGAGTCTAAGCCCAAGAAAATAGCTAGACGCTCCAACCGCACTGCAGCGTCCGTGAATTTAAATCCACTTGGTCACCTCACTCTCATAATTGGACAACCCTCAAACGTACCTGCTTCTACTATTCCAACCATAGACGCTTCACTTGGAGATTCAGCCATGACACCGACGGCTCAGAGGCCAAGGGAATCTGGTGCAGATAACAAGCAGATAACGTACGCATCCATTGCCTCGACAAACAAACCGGGAACGACACAAATAGGTCCACCTTCAGTACCAAGCACGCGTGGCGCAAAGCAGCTACCACCGAAAAATCCAGTGATGCCTTCCAAACAACCCGAACTGCACGCAAAAAGTATAAAGCCAACACTCGCCAGACAAAACCACGCTGCGTTAACTCTCGTGTGGATCAATGTTTCCGAGTCCAAATCTGGCAAATTAAAAGGCAAGTTGCAAGAAAATCGAAACAATTGGAGTTCCATATGCGAGGCGATTGATACTCGGGTTGAGCCAGCAATGCTGCAACGCGTAGCGTGTCACCCGACCTCAGTACACTCTGGTGAAACTCGCATTTTTCTAATAACAGTATGCCTTTTTGGAATCAAGCCAATCCATAACGGATTCAAGCTCCTCCTTAAGAATATTCAACCCAATTCGTAAGCACATCAAGTTGAATCCATCGTTTGGACCAATTGCAAATCAGTACAAGAGTACTCAGAACGTCTGCATTGGTTGGTGCAGCGCTCAGCCAAAAAAATCACGTGATGCACAGTGGACGTGAAAACAACACGTGAGCTCATTCACTGTAGGATAGGTGCGGACTAGCACGCGGCATCTATGGACGGATAAGGAAGTACTGTAACTTCCACCCACTCACGTACGCGGCATCAAGATACACAACGCAGAATTGCGCGGTCATCCGCGTTCATTGTGCTCACTGTTACGCGCAGACGATTAGACATGAAATCTACTCTACAATGAGACAGTAGCGATTGCCTTCACTGAAACTAGCTGCATGCAAGCTGCCAGGCAGGTCCATTAGCCTCACGTGGTGTGACCCAGACTTAGCGGTGTCTACGTGTGTGATCCGTACCGCGCCCCTAAGTCTACTCCCGAAACCGACTACCACCTAATGGCTGCTTTAAGGTGCAGTTTATAACAAAAGTACACTCACATTCTTATCATGGGTGATTTCAACGTACATTGTTTAGAAGCCCCTGCCACAACCGGCGAACAATTCAAAACCGATTTACAAGATCTAGTGACTACTGTTCCTCTTTACAACCACATCACTTTGCCCACTCGGTTCAGAACTGGTAACAGGCCATCTGTGCTGGATCTTGTGCTTACCGACGAGGAGCATATGATTTATGCGTTGGTTTTAGACTGCCCGTTGGGTCGCAGTGATCACGCAGTCATCAGTTTCAACGTCGTCTGCTATGCAGAATATCGGAATGATAACGATGATACTGTGCGAACCATCACAAGGTACGACCGACTCGCCCAGCTAGTCAGCGCCACAACATGGTCTTTTATCGAAGAAGAACCCCCGGAAGTCGCCTGGCTCGAGTTCGTCAACACATTCAGTCAGCTGATTGCGTAGGCTTTAAATTTAAAAGCTTGCAGTAAGTGCAAATCAGTTTCTTTCGTTAGGAGCAGAACTCGAAAATGGATGACAGTACGCAACGCAGCATGGCGAGTGTACAGAGAAGCTCCAGCACCAGAAACGTGGGACAACTACGTAGACCAACGTAACCACTGCACTCAACTGTTAAGAGAAGACAAAGACGCCTATCAGCAGAACATCGCACAAACCTTCAGTGCTAACCACAAACTGCTGTACAAGCACGTTAATAGCCTACGCAAGGTGAGGCAAGGATTTCCTCCACTCAAGACGGCTGATGGCCCAACAAGAACGTCTATGGAAGCTGCAAACGCGCTGCAGATGCAATACACCCACACGTTTCAAAGAGTCTTGCCTCCAAGCGATCTACCAAGATTTGTCTTCTGCTCACCAGGACCAGAGTCTGTATCGCAAATTTGACATCTCTACGCAAACACAGCTCGCCGGGTGTTGACGCCATTCGTCCTGAGGCATTGGGAGTAGCAGCGAACCAACTGGCAGGACATTTAGCTCAGTTTTTCCAGCACTGCTTAGACCAGAACCAGGTTCCAGTCATGTGGAAGCTTTCCATAATAACCCCGATTTAAAAGGTTTAAGCAGAACTGATCCCTCCAAATACCACCCAGTAACCCTTCTTCCTATACTCTCCAAGGTCATGGAATCCATAGTTGCCAATGCACTGGTGTGCTATCTGGAAAACTGCAACCTCATCACCGCTGAACAGCACGGTTTCCGTCGACAGCGGTCATGTACAACTAATTTACTAATTGCACGCAGTAGTTGGACCAAGGCAGCCGACGCTGGAGAAGGTGTTGATGTGATATACCTGGATTTTTCAAGGCTTTCGATCGTCTAGACCATCGGATACTACTATCCAAGCTGCAGCATTACGGGATCGGCGACCCTCTTTTAAGCTGGATCGCCAACTTTCTATTTCAAAGGCAATTAGTGGTCAGAGTTCGGAGCTCTTTATCGGACCCCATCCAAGTTGTGTGTGGTGTGCCGCAAGGCTCGGTTCTAGTTGCACGTTTGTTTTTTGTGTTTATTAATGACCTTGCACAGGGAATCGCTTCAAACTTCCTAATGTTTGCCGACGATATCAGGATCTGGCGCAGGATCCAGGCGAACGCCGACCAACATCTGCTCCAAAGTGACTTAGATACAGTGTATCAATGGTCCATCCAAAAGTTATTGCATTTCAACGTCAGTAAATGCAAGGTGGTTTCCAAACGACATCAGGGCAGCTACTAATACCGACTCGGAACGGATGTACTGCAACAATCAACTCTCGAACGTGACTTGGGTGTCCTGGTTCAAGATGACTTGGGTTGCTCCAGGCAATCGGAAAAGGCCTCGAAGACCGGGAACCAACACGTTGGGCTGTTGAAGCGGGCGTTTGGACAAATAAACAGCTCCATATTTCGACAAATGCTCAGTGCGTATGTTCGCCCCCATGTCGAATACACAATTCAAGCCTGGCATCCATGGCTGAAACACGACCTTAATGCACTGGAGCAGCCTCAACGCCGGGCATCTAAGAACGTAACTGGAATGCGCAATCGGCCCTACCAGGAGAGGCTGCGACGACTAGGATTGTTCAGTGGAAGCTATCGCAGGCTACGATGCGACCTGATTATGACATACTTGATTCTGCGAGACCCACATCATGTGTGCCGCCC